CCCCGTGCTCGCCGCGTGCCTGCCTGTCTGCCTGCCTGCCTGCCTGCCTGCCTGCCCGACGACGTAACGCTCCCACCCCGCCGCTTCATATTCCAAACCAGCCAAGTCCGAACATCCTCCGTCTACGAACATCCTCTCGGTGGGGACTACCTCTCCGTCCAATCTACTCCTCCGCACATTTCGCCCCTCTCTCTGTCCCTCCCCCTCGCACTCTTCGATTTGAAACGCGGTCCGCTACAGCTTCCCCATCCATGGCAGCTCCGTTCTCATCCTTGCGGCATGACACAGCCGTCGCATCCTCTTCCTCCCAGCTCAACGCTCCAGCAGACGCCGCCGACAACGCCAACGCTCCCTCCGCCAGCAGATCCAGCAGCCGCAACGCTTACCGCAGGAGCTCCGTCTACTCGGACCAGTCCTTTTACTCGGCTCCCGACTATCGTCGGCGCAGGCAGCCTCGCGTCGCCCTCCATCCGCCCGATGTGCCCGCCTCGTTCAGCTTCGTCTGCCTCGGCACCGGCGGTGGCCCGCTCGAAGGCGACTGCTCCTGCTACCTCTTGAAGCCCGCAGACGCACAATGGCAAGACGGCTCCATCGTCGTCGAGGGCGGCTCCTGGCTTGGCGCTCTCACAGACGTCCTCGAGCAGCACGGTCCCGACTCGGCCTTCCACGACTTTGACTTCCCCGCCACCACCCCCTCCGCCTTCCTCCGCGCAGGCCTCATGGCCTCCTTCTCCACCGCCTTCTTGATATCCCACGCCCATCTTGACCACATCCTCGGCCTCGTCCTCGGCTCCGCCTCCCTACCGGGCAAGCGCGCCGTCTTCGGTCTCAAGCCCACGCTCGAAAACATCCTCGACATGTTCAACGGCAAAATCTGGCCCAAGCTCGCCTCCTGGAACGAGGACGAGCCGCACACCATGTACCACATGCGCAGCCTCGACAACCAGCGGCCCTTTGGCGTCAGCGACGCGCTCAGCGTGCTCCCCTTTGCCCTCTCCCACGGCCTCAACCCTTCCGAACCGCCAGCTCCACCTACTCCCACCTATGCTCCCACCCAGCTCAACCAGAACTACTTTAGCAAGCGCATGTCGCTTCCCATCAGCACACAGATGGCCTCCTTCCAGCTCTCGCGCGGCGGCGGCGGCGGCGGCGGCGCAGACGATCGCACGCGCACCCTCGAGAGCATAGCCCAGGGCGGCGAATCCAACCTCGCAGCGCTTCGCAGGCCCTCGTTCAACAACAGCCCCTTCTTTGCTCCCAACTCGACTCAGCGCGACAGACTATCCAACGGCTCGCTCAACCCGCTCGATGCATCACCAGGCAAGCACAACGAACCCGTCTCCCCGAGAGCATCGCCTGCCGCTGCTCCTGCCGCCACAGCCGCCACAGCCGCGCCTTCTTCGTCCTCCAGCTCGGGTTCGCTCTCCTCGGTCGCCATGCTGCCCTCCGTCAGCAGTGGCCCGGGCATTCCAACCCGCTCCAACGCACCACTATCCGAGGCGCAAGCGTTGGCACCGCAACAGTTTGGCGCCAAGCTGCCCGAACGCCCCGCCAAGGGCCGCCGCCCGCGCACCGCCCAAGGCTCCGAGAGACGCTCCTCGCCGCCCTCGGCATGGTCGCCCGCGGCCTCTGCCAACCCGGGTGGTGCTGCAGCGCCGCCGCCCACAAGGCAACCGCCCCGACGCGTCTCGATCGACCGCTCGCCGCCGCCGCTCGACTCGACGGCGTTCTTCATCACGCACAAGGCGCACGACAAGGACGTGCTCTTCTTTGGCGATGTGGAGCCCGACTGCGTGTCCAAGAGCCCGCGCAACCGCCAGGTGTGGAGCCACGCGGCGGAGCGCTTTGCCGAGGGCAAGCTCAACGCCATCTTTCTCGAGTGCAGCTTCCCACGCGGTCATCCCACCGAGTTCCTCTACGGCCACTTGTCGGTGGAGCATCTGTTTGACGAGCTGCGCGTGCTGGCGCAGATGGTCAAGCGCTACCGCCAGAAGATGCGACGTCCGTCCAACGCGAGCGGGCGCAGTACCGGCGCGCACAGTTCGGGCGGCGGGGGCGGCGGGGGCGGCAGCACGGCTGGTGCAGCCAAAGCTCATGGCGAAGGCAGGTACACGCCGCACCTTGCGCCGTCTCCACTGGGTACTGCCGCCGTGTCGACGGACGAAGGTGACGCGCGGGAGGCGGTGGGAGCTACAGGATCGCACGTGTACGACGGCGATGCTGAGCTGCGAGGGCAGCTGGACGGGTTGGGCGTGATAGTGATCCACGTCAAGCCGGCGCTCTTCCCGACGTTTGTGCAGGACGATGCACAGCCTGCATCGCCCACCTCGGCTGCCTCGGGCAGCTCGTCGATGGAGGCTGCGGCACACGGCGACGACAGCGACGCAGCCGCCCAGCCGCAGCTCGATCCGCGGACCGCGCCGCAAAAGATCCTCGACGAGCTGCAGCACGAAGAACACCTGGCCGGGTTGGGTGTGCGCTTCGTCATGGCTGAAAAGGGCATGCGCATCGAGTGTTAGCGCGGCGCAGGCGGTTGGTTCTTTGCTTTGGTCTTGACTGTACGTGCGCCAGAGTGTGTTGCGTTTTTAATCATAATCTCGGTCGACATGCACTTGTACCACATGCGTGAGTGTACGGCTGGGTGGATAGATGTCGAGTGTACGACGAGACATTGAGGACAAGTGCGGAGTTGCTGCTGTGCACGTAGCTCTCGGTAAAAGTTCGGTACGACGGAGCAAAGACCGCATGGTGAAGTGGTGCAAGCTAATCGACTCACGTTGCGCCTACGCAGCTTGGATACTCCACCGTGCTTGGAAGCCAGCTTTGGTGCTGCAAGTGCCAAAACGTTGCGATCAACGCATCACAAAGCAAGTAAGCGTGTTTGGTACTCGGACAGCTTTGTCGAGGATCGGCAGTTAGGAAGCGATTCCTCTGGCGGCTGATATGGACGTGAGTGTGCGTGCAGGCGGCCTGACCCTGGCGTGCATTGTAGATGTCTTGCACCTTAGACCAAGGTGTGAGGTGCTTGATGATGCGCAAGGGGGGTTTCTTGTAGGTGTTGGCAGGCAAGATAGCGGCACACAGTGCATTTTTGCTCCGCATCGTGAGATGAGCCCCAAGTAGCCCCGTCCTCCTCCCTGGGCGTATGGAAGCACTCAGGCGCAGAGTCGCGGTGGCTCACCTCTGTTGGGCGGAGTTTCCAGCTCGCCGGGGCTGGTAGCTCAGGTGTCTCCCACCATACCACGTACGGTCCGGGAGGCATGACTACACCTTGGCTCAGGTGGACGATGCACGCACCTCCTCACTCACTCACTCTGACCCTCGGACCCGACTCGTCTCGCACGCACGCACTCTGTAGATTGCAAGCCACCACAATACGTATTCGCTTTGTTCACATTCAATTCGCCATCAACTGCTTCTGCCCTGTGTGGCTCGTCTAAATGGACGCCACGCGGGTGCTTGGCGCAGTCAGCGCGCGGTGCAATCTAGACGCTCTTGTAGCCTGCATGAGCCGCTGACTCGAATCGCACACCAGACGACAGAAAGCTGCACGGAGCCCTAGCAGACACCCGCACACAACGTGCACATCCAAAGCCGTCGTGTTGCAAGCTTATACAGAACCTCCATGAATCAAGCAATGATACACACGCTCTCAACCAGCGTCGTGGATGGCTGTGGTTGCAATGTTACGTGCACCCAAGCTCTGAAAGAAAACCTCTCTCGAGACAAGTCGGTTTGACGAGGGTAGGCATGCTTCGTTGTGACAGGCAAGCCGTACGCGCTGGTGGCGCGGGGTCGAGACAGTGGATCTGCATCTGCCGCTTTCTAGCAGATGGCGTGGATAGCCGCATCGCCAGCGCAACAGCATCATGCTCCTCTTCGCCCTTGGCATGTGGTACGGCAAAAACCCCTTTCGTCGTCGACGAAGACCAACTCGCTGGCGAAGGGGAAACGCTCTTTCCGCTGTAAACAAGTGGCACAGTCTCACATCCTCACTTGTACCCTCACACTGCCTACCCATGCGCACACGATACATCAACCCAACTTCGGCTGAGGGCATAGCCGTAGTCGGAGTATGCAGTGTCAATCGAGGCAACGGCCGCGTGGAAGCTCGGTCATCACAAGGCACAGACAGGCAAGCCGCCTCGCCCAGCCATCGCAACGCATACGCGCAAGCCAACCATCGTGTCCAAACCACCCTCATGACCCCGCACATTTTTTTACCGAGTCCCTGTCCGTCCCCGCCGCAGTGGCGTGCAAGGCGGTACCATGCAAAGCAACACAAAGACATTCTCGGTCATAACACACCCACACTCGCCTACAGCCGCATCGGCCCCAGTCTCAATCGAACACAGCCGCAGTCGGAGCCGCAGTCGGAGCCGCAGTCGGAGAAAGCGCAGCCTCGGCAAAGCATCGTCTAAACTCGGACAAAGACAAAAGCAACATTGACATGATCAAAAAAAAAGGCAGACACGATGCACGACTAGAACTTGGGCGTCGAACCAAAGCCTTGCTCGGGCGGCGTCAAATACGAGTAGCCGGCCCAGTCAAACGTCTTTGCAACCACCTCGTTGCCCCACCAATTGATGGTCAGCGAGCCGTTCTTGGGCAGCGCCAGCGCAAAGAAGACCACAATGGTCGAGATGATCGTGCCGCTGTCCATGGCGGCGGCGAGGACAAAGTTGTACTTGGACCACCAGCGGAAGTTGTACTTGCGCACGAGGTACTGGAAGATGAACCCCACCGCGAACCACGACGAGTAGTTGATCCCACTCGCAGGCGGGATGAACGACACACCGGCAAAGATGACCGGCCAGCTGATGTATCGGATCCAGCTCCTGGGATACCTCCTCGCGGCCAACCAGAACGGAATCGGGATCAAGGCTCCCACCAGCATCGCCCAGTACATCGGCCTGTAGATCGAGTCGTTGCCAAACATCCTCGCCGGCCCGATCGCCCCCCACACCAGACTGGCCGTGTAAAAGACGCGGATGTGCGGGCAGGTGAAGCTGTCGGGCTGATCGGGCGAACAGATGCCCTTGATGTTGGCAAACATCCACTGCTTGACACCCAGCTGCACAAAGCAGGCCACCAACACGCCCGTCAGCTGCGCCATGAACGTCAGCCGCGGCGGGATCTTCATGTAGTGCCCGAGCTTGAGATCCTGCACAAACTGCAAGCCACCGAGCAGACCCTGCAGCGCATACGCCTTGAAGATCATGTTGGGCAGCGGCTTGCCCGGCAGCAGATAGCCCACAATGAGCTCGCCGATGAGGTTGGTGCCGATCGCCTGGCCCGTCATGGCAAACACGAAACCGGTGGGCAGAATGTAGATGGCGGGGATGGCGATGGCGACGAGCAGCGCCCAGATGGGCAGGCCCGTGTCGTAGACCTCGATCATGATCACGCCAAACACGAGCGCCGCGAGGAACATGCACGCGTACCACCAGTCGGGCGCCTCGGGGTAGTGGCGCATGAACTTGGCGTGCACGTCGTCCTCCTCGGTGCGCACGCGCATGATGCCCTTCTTGAGCGCCTTGCCGTGGTAGAGGACGGTGTGGGTGAGCACCGAGGTGAGCATGGCGAAGCCGGTGGTGTAGACGAGCGAGAGCGTGGTCGAAAGATAGAGCGGCGAGTAGGCCTCGTAGGCGTCCTTGTCGAGGTCGACGCCGTTGGGGATGACGCGCGAGATGTTGTAGGGCATGCCGAAGCGGTCCCAGGAGGCGCCGCTGTTGAAGGGCAGGTAGGCCTGGTACCAGACGTTCTTAAAGTACATGAGCGGCGCGACGATCCAGACGAGGCCGACAAAGCCGGCAAAGATGTTGCACTCGGCCCACCAGGGCGTGACGAGGGGCGAGCCGATGTAGATGATCTGGGTCCAGTCGAAGGTGAGCACCGAGAGGCCGAGGCCCGAGGCGGTGCCAAAGACGACGTTGACGGGCATGTTGGTGGGCCAGATCCAGCAGACCCAGTTGAAGAAGGAGAGGGCGGTGAAGAGGTAGCCGGGCACAAAGTAAAAGACAAAGGCGGCGATGGAGACGATGCTGAAGAAGCGGAAGCGCGTCATGGAGCCGTCTGCGCCGTCCTCCTCTGCGTGGAGCGTGTTGAGGATGGTGGCCTGGACGAGGTTCTGGGGCCAGATCATGCTCGCCGGCCACACGAGGAAGCGGCGACACATGCCGGCGAGGCCGAAACCGACGGTCTGGCAGCTGAGCACAAAGAGCACGTCGAAGCCAAAGGGCCTCGGCTGGCCGTAGTAGCGCTCGTGGTCCTGTACGATGATGACGCTGATCGAGTAGGCGGTGTTGATGGCGATGCTGGCCATGATGGAGGTGAGGGCGTGCTCCTTGATGTTGTAGATGCCCGGGTTGAGCGAGAAATCCTTGCCGCCGAGCCAGCGCGGGAGGGTCCATACGCGGATGGGCATGATGGCGGCGAGGAGCTTGCCGATGGGGTAGGCGATGAGGAGGACGATGGTGTTTGTAAAGGTGGGTGCCGGGTATCGCATGGAGAAGAACATGTTGGCGCCGGCGGCAATGATGGTGAGGAAGAAGGATATGAACCACATGCGGATGGTGTTGACGGGCATCTCGGTGTCGTCGATGTTGGAGACCGAGGCGCGCACCTCGGGGTAGGGCGAGTCCTCCTCCATCTCCATCTCGAGCTCCACCATGCGTACGCCGCGCGATCCGACGTGTGCGCTCTCGAGGGCGGGGTGGACGAGGCCGTGACCCTGGCCGAGGTCGTTGTAGTTGACCATGTGGAATTCGTCCTTGTAGGCGTCCTCGTAGGTGTAGTCGGCGGCGTCGAGGGGGAACTTGAGGTCGCTCTCTGGGCTGCGACGGAGCTCGGGGAGGGAGTCGGGGTAGGCGTCGATCTGTGCGCTCTGACGCTTGCCCTGTGCGGGGATGGCGTGGTCGAGCGAGATGGCGCCGCTTGCGGTGGTGCCAATGTCGCGTGTGCCGTGCGGGAGGGCGGCGCGCATGTCCGAGTTGCCGCTGCGGCTGGTGGGCTGGGAGTCGACTTCGGGGAGGGCGTCCATGGAGGGGAAGGCGGCGTAGGAGCGAGCGTGGTTGAGAGGCTGTGCGCCGGGATCGCGGGAGTAGGTGCTGGTGGAGTCGTAGGAGCGGTTGTCGGTGGAGGCGCGTGGCTTGAGAGATTGCGAGGCGTCGGCGGGCAGGCCGTTGCGGTGAGCGGTGGCGGCGGCGGCGGCGAGGTCGTTGATTGTGAGCTCGGAGGCGGGCGAGTCTCTAGCGTGGGCGTCGTGCTGCAGATCGTGGAGGC